AACAGTAAGGGAGTTTCACATTTCCAACCATAATAAAATTTTCCCTTTGAAAGTGAATCGTCTATTTTATGTTTCAAAGATGGCAGATGTTTCTGGGATATGGTGAAGTCTGCAAGCCATATTTTATATGCACTGAAGGAAACTTTCAACCATAAAAATCAATCTAGGGCTGATTAAGGAAACCCTCTCTTTCAATCTAAGGAGCAGATTTAGGTTAATTAATGCCTGGATACTAAACTGTGTGTTAGGATGTCACCTTTCATGTGGAAGGCTCATTAAGATGTTCATTACGGGACTTCCCTGGTGGCTCAGTGGTTAAGAATCCGCCTGCCAATGCAGGGGACATGGGTTCGAGCCCTGGTCCGGGAAGATCCCACATACCGCGGAGCAACTAACCCCGTGAGCCACAACTACTGACCCTGCGCTCTAGGGCCCACGAGCCACAACTACTGAGCCCGCGAGGCACAACTACTGAAGCCCGTGAGCCTAGAGCCTGTGCTGCACATCAGGAGAAGCCACTGCAAGGAGAAGCCCGCGCACCGCAATGAAGAGTAGCCCCCGCTCGCCGCAACTAGAGAAAGCCCACGCACAGCAACGAAGACCCAGTGCACTCAAAAATAAATAAATAAATAATTTAAAAAACCTATATGTATAAATATAAAAAAAAACCTATAAAGGTGTTCATTACATGTGTGTATCTTTTCAGATCCCATTACAACAAACTTCAGGGGTTATCCAAGATATTTTGGCTATACAGGAATAAAGGGACCTTAGACACTGCATGAAATAAAGCTGATAGCGAAGGTGGAAAAAGGTGGAACACTCCCGTCAAATCCACCCACGATGGATGGATCTGAACATGTAAACTGATCAAGGGGAAGGAAGCTGTAATGTTGGGATTGGTTGTTAGCAAGCCAACTTCGGACCAGATGGATCTTGTTGTTAATAGGTAAACTGAGGCGCACTAAAATTTTTGAAGAGTTTATTTAGGCATACGTGGAGTCGAATCCGGCAACGCCAAACCAAAGGTAGTTAGCCGTCCACCGACAGGCGTAGGGCAAGGTGTTTATAGAGAATATGCTGAAGCAAAGCAGCTATTAGGTATAGCTTAAGCGGTTGTCTCAGGTGGGAAGACCTAGTTGGCTGTTTGTAATTGGTCTTAAGTTTCCCTTTCTCAAATTCTCAGGCTTCTTGGTTTTGGTTAGTTTACGAAGGCTACTAAGGAATTAGAGCCAACTCAGTGTAATAGCGTCCTTGTCTAATTCTCTAACAGCGTGTAATGTAGGTCACAGCCTAGAGGGAGGAGTCTCAGGGTGACATTGGCAGCGTCCATCCAGTCACTCCCCAGGGCACCAGGAGAGAAGAAAGCCAGTCCCAGCTGAGGACACTCACCTGTTAGGGTTTCCTTGGCAAGACTGTCCCTGGATTAAACAAATGACCTAAGAGACTTCAGTTGCAAGACTCTTTTCCTACTGGTCACGTGAGTTCCCAGGTAGCTGGTCTACAAGGAGAGTGTGCTGGCCCAGCAGACGAGAACTTTCCAGCCCACCTTACAGTTAAAGTTTTCATAAGCAGTTGACCAGGCAGCTGCTGCAGCATTTAGCTTCTGGGGCCAGACTGCTTAGCTTCAAGTTCTGGTCCTCTCTCTTACTAGTTGTATGACCTTGGGCAAATTTCTTAACTTTACTGCATCAGTTTCCTCGTCTGTAAAGTGGCTTTAAGAATAGTACTTAGGGGCTTCCCTGGTGGCGCAGTGGTTGAGAGTCCTCCTGCCGATGCAGGGGACACGGGTTCGTGCCCCGGTCCGGGAAGATCCCACATGCCGCGGAGCGGCTGGGCCCGTGAGCCATGGCCGCTGAGCCTGCGCGTCCGGAGCCTGTGCTCCACGGCGGGAGAGGCCACAACGGTGAGAGGCCCGTGTACCGCAAAAAAAAAAAAAAAAAAAAGAATAGTACTTAGAAGAATTAAATGAGGTCATACATAGGATGGTTCATTTAGCACAGGGCCTGGCACATAATACGCACTCAGTAAATGTTAGCTATTGTTTTCATTAATGGTTTTATACAGCTGTCTCTTGAACTTGTTTAATATTGGTCTGCCACAGGAGATGAGCCATTCTTGGCATGCCAGAAAATCGTGTTTCTGGGTTCAGATGGCTGGGACCAGCCTCTGGATAAAGGAGGCAGGTTAACCAAGGTAACTGCCCCTGTGTGGAAGTGGATGGGGTACTCAGGCACCCCTGTCTCCCTGCCCTTGTTCATGGCCCTGCAGTGGTGTGCAGCTATTCTCCTGTGATGTTTTAGTACATACTGATTATTCTAGTGACTTTATAATTTTTTAGCTCTTCTCAGTTAGATCTTTAGAGGACAAAAATCCTGCCTTATTTTTTCCCCTATGCCCTTTCAGTTAGCTAAAAGATGAACACTCAGTAAATACTTCCCAGATGAGATGATAAAGTTTATAGAGAATTCAGAACACATGGAAGCATGTCCCCAAAAATGAAATTGATGGGGAAAATGAAAACTAGAAAACTAGAGAGGGGATGTTAAGACATTCTTAGATGAAACATCTGGAAGAGCCCACGGAAGTCAGAGCTAAGAGGACAGGTGGCTGTTAGGGGAAGAAAGTCCCAAGACTGCCGTCCTCCTGTGTGTGTGGGCCTGGGCAGCAGTGTAGACCCGTTCGCAGTGGTTGCTAGAGAAGCCACTGGATGACTTCCATGGTCACCCTAACAAGGTGGCCACGGAGAAGACCCCATGCCTCTCTGGGCCCTGGGAGAAGCCTGGAATGGAGAGTAGGGGATCGTGACTAAGGCAGTCAGGGGAGAGCACCTGGCTTTGGAGCAGAAGGTGGAAGTCAGCGTACTGCGTGCCGAGCGCCGTCTCTCGGCTCCATGCCCACGCGCTCACTCTGTGATTCTGCTTCTCTTGTGTGTCCATCACAGCTTTGTGGGCTTCAGAGACAGCTTCCCTGCTCATGTGCTCTAGTCCCTTGTGCTGGCTTCACAGGCCCCCTGCAGGCCTATATTTGTGGCCTCACCTGGGAGATTCCTGTATGTGTGTCCTGTAAATCACTGCAAACTTCATTCTCATTCAACCCAACATCCGTTTATTTAGGATCTAAAATAGTGCCGTGGTGCTATTAGAGCTCAAATTATAGACTGTTTAGAGTAAACAGGATCTTGGAGATTTCTAACTCACCCAGCCTGACAAATGAAGAAACTAAAGCTCAGAGAGTTTGAGTTACTTACCCAAGGTCACACAGGCATCTTGGGGGCAGAGATGAATGGGGAAGCCTGATGCTCCATTCCACACTCCCAACAAATGTAGACTTTGTCAGGATTTAGGTTGACTCATTGGCTCAACTTTTAGTTGTTTCATTCAAAGGAAAAATTCATTACATATCTCTACTGGAATTCTTTGTAGGATTCCAGGCACTGCTAAAATAGGTAGGTCTGGGCTGGAAATCAGAAGAAGAATTTCTATAAAATTTTGGAAGATGGGCCAGTTTTTAAAACCTGATGGAAGGTGTATGGCTTGTACATACTGGGGCTTTCAAACATTTTTCATTCACTTGTGGAGTGTTTTTTCATTCTGGAGAAGGTTTAGACATTGAATGTACAAAAAGGATTAACTTTGCCTGCTATATACTTACCCTGGCCTGTAGCCTCTGATAAGCACAAGCGAATGGGGCAGGATGTTAATTCACAGACCACTCATTTGCCAGACACGTGACACAGACCACGGGCAAAATGAGCTTCCTCTTGGCGAATCCTTCTCGGCACCTGGCCTTCTCCCAGCAACTCCTCCCCTGGAACTCCTGGAGTTGAGCTGGGGGATAGTTTGATCCACAGTTGCTGGGTGTCAGGAGGCTTCAGATAAGCCTGGAAGGAAAATGGAAAGGGTGTTCTGGTCAGGAGCAACTGTCTCCTCAGGGGAGTGGCCATTCCAAGTTCAACATGTGCTTATATGTGCGTTCTATATTAATGTGCTTATGGTCTGTGTTCTGTCAAGGAGGAATAAGCGGCTGTGTTGGTCACGAGAGTAGATTGCAATAAAACAATGACAATAATAACTACAGTCACACTGGCCTGGCTTGAGCCAGCACTCGGCTTTATCCTGCTAGAAATGGTCTCGCAGAGTAATGGTGGGGCTCCTGGCCTGGAGCTTCCACTTATCCCTCAGTTGAGAGGAGGACGAGGCTGTCTGGACCTTCCTGCTGGCCCCTCATTCCTCTCTCGCTATTGATCTACTCTACCACCAGGCGACATCTCTTTGTGTTACCTAGCCTACGCTTGTACTGCTCCATGCACAGCAGGCCAATAGATAGAGAGATGAGGTGTTGGGACATGGAAGGTGACTTTATTCAGAAAGCCAGCAGACCAAGAAGATGGTGGACTACTGTCCCAAAGAACCATCTTCCCTGGAGTGAGAATTCAGGCTTCTTTTATACTAAAGGGGCAGGGGGTGTGGCTGGTTGTTGCAGACTTCTTCACGTAGGAATCTTTTGTTTTTGCACCTGTCCCCAAAGGGCAAGTCACGGTGTTCCTTTAAACCTCCAACAAGACAACTGTTGTCCTCTGTTCTGCAACTTTTTATCTCTCTATGAATCGAAAGGTGTTTTACCTTTAAAGGTCAGGGCTTTGAGAATAGGCTCTCCTCTATATTTCAGGCTACAGGCAACATTCTTTACAGAAGGTGCAGAGCCAGCATGACTAAGCACAGGAAACAGAGCACAAGGGTTAGAGCTAAAGGAACAGATGCCATATGGAGTCATGTTTGTTCTTCTCTATCACATTTCCTTGGAAGCATGTTTCAAAACCTGTCTCCTCTGGGTTTGCACAAGTCCACTCTCCAGACCATGGAATGGCCTTGTCGTTGGTGGTGCACACGACACAGCCTGTCTTTGCGCTTGTGCACTCTCCAGATGGACACCTCTGCCTCAGACCCACCGTGAACCAGCCTCTAACCCTGCACCTGTGCTGTGTCCCCCCCACCCAGGTCTCCCAGGCAGCAGCGGACCTCCTGGCGTACTGTGAAGCTCATGTGCGGGAGGACCCTCTCATCATTCCAGTGCCTGCGTCAGAAAACCCCTTCCGAGAGAAGAAGTTCTTTTGTACCATCCTCTGACTCCGTTTGCTATGAAAACGTCTCCTTTTCTGTCCGTAAAATCCCTTGTAGAGACCGCGCATGCTCATAGCTTTAGGGAGCTCTGCCCACACCCACCCCTGCCCAACCAGGATTGCCCAGGCCTGTCTCCTCTTTTCACTGGTTTTCTTCACTGCATTCTATTTCACTTTTTCTTTTCATTTTCATGTTATTTTCATTATTAGAAAATGAAATAGACATTTTTGTAGCCAAATAACAAATGTGCCAAGTAAAACTAAGTATGGGTTTAAGGGCTTAAATTTTTTTAACATCAAGTCCCAAGTTTACATAGGTCAAGTGTATACATTTCAGTGGATAATTTATTGAGAAGAGATAATTTATTGAGAAGTGGATAATTTATTGAGAAGAGAAAACAGTCCCCCATTCGTGATCATTCAGTGTCAAATCAGATCATTTTGACCAACTGAAGTATATGGGTAACGTTTCCATCTCTCTTCCTGGAGAGAGCAGTTCTGCAAGTTCTCAATTTCCTGCTTTTCTGTCATCCTATTTAAAGAAGAAATAACCTGCATCATCGGATGGTTTTCTAAACGTGGGTCATTCTGGGGCCCTGGGGCCCAGCCCCTGATGGAGGGTCCAGACCCCTGTTTCCCACTGATTGTCATTGATCCCTTTGGAGGTGGTCCTTCTACAAATGTAGGTGTTGGGTGGATATTGGAGTGAGCTTAACTGTAAATGTCACACCATTACATCTGTTTATGTGCGCCAGCCAGGCGGGCCAGGGGCACATGTCTTCTCTCCAAATGCCACCTTATCCTGCTCCCTCCTATTCTGCCTCCTGCTCTGCATGGGCTGCATTAATAAGGGCCTGTTCTGGGGACTTCCCTGGCAGTTCAGAGGTTAGGACCCTGTGTTTCCACTGCAGGGGGCCCGGGTTCGATCCCTGGTTGGGGAACTAAGATCCCACAAGTTGTGTGGCATGGCCAAAAAATAATAAAAATAAGGGCCTTTTCTGGGCACAGCACTGGGTCCTGTGGGGTTTCACCAGGGTGGCCCCTGCCCCAGAGGAGTGAGTGAGAGGCAGCAGCTCACCACGTAGCATCCACTGATCAGAGCATTTACACGTATCCACTTATTTAATCCTCCAACAATCAGTAAATGCCGTGAGAGTATGTCTGTTCTAAAGAGCGGGAAACGGAGGCACAAAGAGACCATGTAGTTTCCCCGAGGTTGTAGATAGTGAGCCAGAAGACTGGGACCTGAGCCCCTGAGCTCAGGTCCTTCCAGGCCTCCCTGTTTGCAGGCAGGTAGGCAGACCTGCAGACAGCCCGAGCCACGTGCCACGAAGCACCGCTGCTGGGGTCCGCTCGGCAGCACACTTCTCTTCCCATCTTCGCCAGGAGCAGGCGTGTTGGGCCCGTATCCTGGCAGCTTCTGGAAGATGAAACGTGGCTGCTGCCGTGGAAGGCTAGGTGGCTCTCGATTTTTCTGAGACAAACTTGCAAGCCCCACCTCAAACAAACTCCTCCCACCCCGGATGAAGGAAGGGGATAAACCACAGGGGCAGAGAGCGTTCTGTCCAAGTATGTCCTGTTCCGTTGGTTTGGAAACTGTCTCCCTTCCTGGCCCTGGCAGTGGCTTACTGTAGGGCCAGCCATTGTGTGCCTGGAACCTGCAAATTGGGGATAATGGTAGTTACTCCTCCTGCCTTTCTGTCTAGGACAGAGGGAGGTGCTACATAGATGAAAGCTCTGATTATCATGTAAAACCAATATGCTAAATGCCAGGCTGTCGTATAGGGAAGAACGCATGACTTCAAAGATCCGTGGTTCAGTTGGAGGAATCATGTAAAACCGCCTACAAAGAGGCAAATGTAATTTTCAGATCAATTAATGACTTGCTACCCTCATAAAGGGTTTTAGTACATTTTTATTCTTGGTTTCTTTTGTTGAAACCCATTCTTTGTTTCATGAAAGCTCCCTGGTAATAACACTGTTGTTAGGAAGCTGTGTGCTCAAACTATAGCAGAATTGTATGCTGTCTGTGATAATAGGACTTCCAATCCTCCTCTATTTTGGTTTATGACCAGGACCTGTTTATTCTGTGGTCCACAGTCTTCACCAAACTTTCTCCCCTTTGTTTTCATTTCCAACATCCCTCCGTATTCTGCCTCCACTTTTTCCCTCTTTTTCCTTCTCCTCCTCTCTTCCTTGCATCCCTCCATGAGATGCCTTTCGTCCTTTTACTACACCTTTTCCTTCCAAACCTGTGGCGTTTTGTGTGGCTTGCCCCTTTTAACATATCCCTGAACTCATTGCTGCCCTTAAAGGCAAGTTCGTGAACGTGCGCTGTGAGACACGCAAACATGTGGATGAGCCCCTCGCCCCCTAGCAATCGCCGGGAGCTGATGAAGCTGCCTGTAGCGGGCAGTCGTCATATGGTGTTTCTAGCTTGGCTGTCCAGCACCTGACCCCTTTCCTAAAGGGGGAAATCATGAAATCACCCCTATGTATAAATGTAGGGATGCAGTGCCCCCAGCACAGTGGATGCCGAAGTGGGGAGGTCTTCTCTCTCAGGTGCATCCCCTTTTCCAGCACCAGACCGGCCAGTGACCCAGGGTGAACTCCGTGGACTCCCATGCTTGGGATTATGAGCTTGGTGCAAGTGACACAGAAATTAAGGGATGCTGAGATTCGTTTCACGGGAGCTGTGGTGGTCCAGGGGTGGCAGTGGTCCAGCAGGGGAAGTGTCTAGGATTGGCAGGCTGCAGGGGTGTCGTGTCCACTGGTAGTAATGTCCGGGGATGGCAGAGTGCTGGGCAGACCGTTTCTGCTTCGTTTCTTGGCCCCCACCCATCTTCCCAGGTCTCCTTTCTAGCTTTCTGTCAATTCTGTGAGCCGCCAAGCTCCGTCCAATAAATTCCTCATTCTTCTGTGAAATAGCTTGGGTTGAATGTACATATCATATGACCTAAAAACTCCACTCCTCTACCCAACAGAAATCTGTACGTACATTCACCAAAAGAAATGTACTAGAATGTTCACAGAAGCACTGTTCATAATAACCCTGAACTGGAAGATACCCAGATGCCCATGTTGAATGGATAAATTATGGTATATTTGCACAGTGAAGTCCTACACAGCAAGGAGAAGGGGTGCTCCTGCAGCCACCCGCATGGCACCACGTAAGTCTCATGAGAGGAGGCAAGTTCGTACTGTATGGTTCCATTTATATCAAGTGTCAAACCCGGCAGAGTTCACCTCTGCTGTTGCAAGTAGGGATATGAGTTACTCTTGGGGGGATGGTAACCAGATGGGCACAAGGGAGATTCTCAGACCTTCTGTTCCTTGATCCGGTTGCTGGTCACCTGGGCGTATCTAGTTTGTGAAAATTCTTCGAGCTGTACATTTGTGGTTTGTGCCCTTTTCTGTATGGATGTTGTACTTCAATAAAAAGTTGGTTTTGTGCCTAGCAATGGAGAATCCTATGGTTATTGTTTTTCCTTTTTTGGGGGGGCACTTTGCTCAACTTTTTACTCCTGTTTAGGTATAACATCATTAGTGGGGCATTTAAGTGTATTTAACAACATTCTGAAATACAAAATACTTGTAATCCACAGCTCTCTGGACAGAGAATAGCTCTCAGCACAACGCAGATGGTTGCCCATGAATGGGGCATGTGAGTGCCGTGCGTGGGATCTGTATCTTTGGGGAGAACAGTGAGAAATCCTCCTGGGATTTCCCACTCGGCTCAGCCTCTGTCAGTGAGGCCGGTGACCTACCCTGAGCCTCTCCTGCCTTCCGACCACTGGAATGAATGGCCGGCCACAAAAACCTATTATCAGACACCACCTCTGGGGGAAGGAGCTGCTACAGGCACCAGCTGGCTTTGTGATGATGCATCTTCTGAATGCAACCCGGTCTCCCAAATACACTGAAGCAAACCTGGCTCCCTCAACTCTGCTCCCACCTACGGGGGCACTGGGCCCCCTTCCAAACTTCTGGCTGAGTCCGAGGTCCCCCAGGGCTGTCTCCTTGGCTCTCAGCTCCCAGGTGGCCTCAGCATTCTCCTTCTTGCAGTTCTGAAAGGTTGAATCCCGGGGTGATCACAGAGTGGCTTCATGCTGGGACTCCTGCTACATGAATCCACAGGTCTTACCTTTGATTCCGAGCGCCAGGCCCACAGAACTCAACAGGGAGTCTGAATCGGCAGCAGCCTCCCTCCGAGGGAGCCGTGGGAGGGGAGCGAAGCAAAGGTCAGAAGGAATTTTGTTCTGATGACTGTTCCAGTTTGACATGAAACTAATGATAACAACTAGTGTTTGGGGAATTGCCTGGAGGTCCAGTGGTTAGGACTCAGCACCCTCGCTGGTGTGGCCCTGGTTCAATCCCTGGTCAGGGAACTAAGATCCCACAAGACGAGCAGCAAGGCCCAAACAACAACAACAAAAACAAAAACACAAAACAACTAGTGTTTTGACCTGAGAAGAACATGGTTGTCATAGATTAGACAGAACTGACCTACACCCCCATCTCCTTCGCCTCTTCAGGGTGGCAAGAAGACACCAGGTTTTACGGAGGACCCAAGCGAAGCTCTCCACCCCGCCCCAAGCTTCAGCTCCATCTCTCAGGGCCACGCCACTCTGCCCTCCCTGGGACACACAGCCAGAGCAGCAAGGGTGGAGGACAAGCTGGCTGTCTGCCCAGTTTCAGTGTTTCTGGAGGTACGTGTGGATGAGCTGGTGATAACTCCCACTGGTCGACACCTGACAACCCATCCAGTTTCTAATAAGACCCTTACACTTGATTCTGCGTTAGCTGTAAATAAGTTACTGACTTGTAAGATATTCAGGCCCGTGCATGGTAGTGAACCAAATGCTGGAGTTATTGTGGCCACTTACCTTTAAAATGGATAAACAACAAGGTCCTACTGGATAGCACAGGGAACTGTACTTCAGTAGCCTATGATAAACCATAATGGAAAAGAATATTAAAGTGAATATATATATAGGTACATATATGTATAACTGAGTCACTTTGCTGTAAGCAGAAAGTAACACAACATTGCAAATCAAATATACTTCAATAAAATAAATTTAAAGAGGAAAGAGATTTCCCCAGTGACACAGAGTGGCCTCCGAGGCCCCGCCAGCTCTGGCCGTACTTCTCACCAGAGTCACTTTCACACCTCACTCCCCGCAAAACCCTGTGCTCCATCCACACTGGCCGTTATTCGAGCGTACCTCGCTAGCCCTGTTCCCTGCTGCCACGGGATCTTTGCATCTGCTGCTTCCTTGGCCTAGCACGTTCCTCATTCCTCTCTTGGCCAGGTCGACTTATTTTTCAGATCTCAACTCCGAAGGTGCAAGCCTTCCCTGAACTCTCTGACCAAGTCAAATCTGTTTACACGTCCTTCCTGTGCTGTGAAGCCATCTGTCATTGCTCCGGTTTTACATGTGTACAAGTGATCGCTCAGTGCCCATCTGCCTCCCTGACTATGCTGTCAACGCCACGAGGGCAGAGGTTTTATCCCCGGCACCTAACATATCACCTGGCACATGACGGGCACCCGATAAGTATTATCCCAATGAA